GAACATCCAGTCTAAATACATCTAACAACATTTGATAGCAGTAGCAGTGGTATCTAATTAATATCAATGGCAGCCATAGAAACAATTCCCTGAAAACCACCAGCGGGAATGCTAAAGATGTATTCACAGTGATATCTCCAATGATAATTTGGTAGCAGTGGCTCATTTCATCAATCCCTTTAATGAGGAGGTTCATTTCCCCCCCGGTGCCTGAGAAACAAACAGATACAAGCCAGAACCATGTTGGTGTACCTAACCCAAGAACCATCATGTAGACCTCATTCTCGCCGGCTTAATCCCATTTCTTTTCTGAGATTTTAGCTCAAAGCACCTCCACAAATGATAGCAGTAATACATGCTGATGTGCAAAGTGGTTTTGCTGTGCCTTAAAAAAAAAATCTATCATTTATTTTTTTTAGCCAGCAGTAAACTTGATAGAGCACCTTTTAACTGGAATTCTTGTTTTGCTGTGTACACTTCTTTTCCTCTTCCCCGATAAAAGGGTAAAGTGCAACCCAGGTTTCAGAGAGGGATGGATGCCTGATTAATCTGTCTGCCAGGTGCATATGGAAATAAATTAGCAAATGGTACATCTGGGATTGAACTACTGCAGAGATGATAAATTATTGCCATCTTCCATGGCTGTATTACTGAGGCATCAGTGAGTTCTCTAGTTCTCACTGAAAGGCTGATCACATAAAATCACCATGGTTCTGGAATTAAGGCAGCATTTTCGGTGGTGTAAGCAATTCTTAAAGGCTCCGAGGCCCATTTTTATTAGACTTACGATAGGCTTACGATGTGTGCGCATGTGCGTGCACAGAAGCAAATATTTCTAAACAGCCCTTCAAACTTTCTTCCTCTACGGAAGTATCTTAAACCTAGAATTTTAGCATTAACCTTGCAGTGTTTGATGTCATTTGGGGGGTAGACTTGCCTGCTGCCATTAAACTCAGACCGTGATTGGAGTTTTCGACCCAAGGATTCTCGTGTAAGTGTGGGAGGGAAATGATGGCATGCGATCATCTTCTCTGGCATACATCTCTGCAGTGAAACGGGAAGCCATTCAGTGGCTGTAAAGGTATCAGCCTGGAGAAATTGCCCACAAGCTATATTGAAGAGGTGGCATCAAGGAGAAAGCCAAGCCCCCTGTGTGGCCTCATGCAAGCCTCCCAGGGGTTGCTCATGCTCGATGGAGGGATATTGCAAGCATTCAAGTAGGGGCAACCACAAGGCAATTTGGACTGTACCCTTGTATTCACGTGTCCAATAGGAACATAGGAAGCTGCTCTATACCCAGGCAAACCATTGGCCCATCTGCCTTAGTATTCAGACACTCCAAGTGTGCCTGTTTTCCAGGGACGGTCCCGATTTTACAGAAGCCGATCCGGTTTCTGACTGGATCCCAGAATGTCCTGCTTTTCCTTAGGGCTTTCCTATTTTCATTGGAGAAATTTGGGAGGGTGTGGAGTTATGTGACCCCTGAGCCAGGGAGATAAGTAACTATACAACCTTTAGAAGACATCTGTACAGGGAAGTTTTTACATGTTTAATTGTGCTTTTATACAGTCCTGTTTTTCTAGAAAAAGAGGTGCCGGAACTCACCATGAACGCCTCCCTTGTTCTCTTATAATGGCAATGGCGCCCACTTGAGAGGTGCCAGGACTCATTTCCAGTGAGTTCTGGCTGAAAAAAGCCCTGTTTTTATATATGTTGGAAGCTGCCCAGGGTGGCTGGGGCAACCCAGTCAGATGGGCGGGGTGTTGTTGTTGTTGTTGTTACTATTGTTATTGAATAGGACGTCCCTATTTTCATTGGAGAAATGTTGGAGGGTATGCCGACACTGACTGACAACAGCTTGCCAGAGTTTCAGATGAGGGACACTCCCAGCCCTAGTGTCAGGCTTCAGGAAATCCTATCCCTCCTACGGTGGGCAGCCAAGAAGCAAATAACAAAAAGAGTTCTTACCAAGCCCTTTATTCAGTATTCACAGAGAGAGGTTTTGAAAAGTGCCCCTCCATTCCAGTAATGGCATTACTCCAAATAAAGTCCCACCCCCTCCGTCTCTCCTATTCTACGTCATCCCTGCGCCAGCTGATCTGTGCTTTCTGCCTCTGAGCTTTCTGTTCTACTACTCTCAATGCACGCCGGGTCCTGGGAGGGGGTGGTCTGGCATGCTTTCAAAAGACACTGAGTCTGTCAGCTGTCTCTCCCTTAGCGCTGCTGCTGCTGCTGCTGCTGCTGCTTCTTCTTCTTCTTCTTCTTCTTCTTCTTCTTCTTCTTCTTCTTCTTCTTCTTCTTCCCACGGCTGCTGCTGCTCCCCCAATATTTCCCAGCTTCTCCCCCCCCCATTGCAGCCTCTGAACTATGACCTTCTGCAAACCAGTTTTAAATCTGTACTGTCCTTTTCTTCTCGGGAAGGTTTGGGGGGCGGTCCCCACCATTCCTCCTCAGTCCAGTCCCTGACACCCACTTGGAGATGCCAGGGCGTGAACCTGGGACTTTTTGCATGCAAAGCTGATGGTCTACTGCTGAGTGATATCCCTTCCCCCCCAAATGGATACTGTCTGCCCTGTAGGAAGGAAAAAGGAGGGAGACAAAGACTACATCAAGGCCTGCTGCGGCCTGACTTACCTTTCCCTGACACAGGGCCAAATGATATCCTCTGCTCTGTTGGATGGAACATCTGAAGCTGGCTCCTGCATTTGTGGGGCTGTTGGTTTCGTTTTGCAACCACGCGGCTCTTGGTGTATCTGTTCTGCTTTATAGATGATGTTACCCACCTAGAGGACCTCGTCAAAAACCAAGTTAGTGCTTCCCCAGCTTTGGGAAAGAGGTGGGTGGGCTCTAGGACCCTGCCAGAGCCTTGTACGTCCTTCCCAAACCCCCAACACCTCACTTACCCGGCTTTGGGAAGGCAGCACAAGGGCTGGGTGGGTGTGTCAAATTTTGGGCTTGCTCCCCACCCCACACATGCAGCCCACGGGTTTCATGTTGAAGTTCTCTTGTGGCCTACTTGGTATAAAAAGTTGGGTAGCCCTGTTCTACATATCTTGTTGCTGTTGGTCTGTGATTTTGCTTGGAAGTTAAGACTCTTTAAGTTTTTCATACAAATAAATCAAGTCAAGCAACAAGTGTGGGTCTTTTACACTTGAGCCCTATACATGTCTGCTCAGGAGTAAGTCTCATTTAATTTGATGGAGCTCTGGGTAAGTGGTTATAGGAGTGAAGCCTTAGTCCTGCCAAGTGAGCCAAAGGCATGACAATGCCGTTGAATGAACAGTCCTTTGCTGTTTGGCTTGCTTGGCCATGCAAGTTATAAACAGTGTGTACGTGTGTGTTTCCAAATGCACAAAGAGAACAAATCAAAGGAATCACATTGTGAATGGAAGTTTCTGGTCACAGCTAATAAAAACCATTCAGTAATAACTCCCTCAGTATCAGCATTTAAGTGCGCATTTAAGTTGTGCTCTGGAAGCAAAATAAACTAGCCAAGAGAAAACATTCTAATAATTTATGTGCATTTATATGTACAAAGTTATGGCCCTGCTGCAGTTTTCTTTAGCAAATGGCTTGGAATATGCAAATTGCATTTATGAGTTTTCTTCTTTTGAGTCCCTTTCTGTAGGGACGATAGGAGAGGCTAAATCAAGCTCGTGTAATTTCTACATTCAAAACTGAAATTTGATGCCATGTTTAGTAAGTGTGAAAGCCAATTTAACAGATTGTTCAGTGTCTGATAACAAATGAGACTCAATTTTTTGGTTCTTTTCAAAATATTTGTAGCATGTTTTATTTTGGTTTGGTTTCTTAAACTAATTTACTGTGGATACTTGTGCAATCTGTCTAGAGCTACATTCAACAATATAAATGGTACAGCTTCCATCTCTATACAGAAATGGTTCAAGGTGATTCATGATAAATAATTAACCTTAGTTGCAGGGATACAAAGCAAATTTCTTATGGAAATTATAACAAGATGAACACATAGGACTCCTTTTGTTTTTCCAAATCCTATTTATACAGCTCATCCTCTTGAGAATGGAAAATGTGAGTGCCTCTCCCTATCCCATGGTTTGGTATATTGAAACTCTAGTGCTAATGCTTCTTTTCTGTCAGTAGGTGTCACTATTGTACTGTTTGTGCAGAAAACAGCACTACAGCAGGATCAAATAACAAAAGAAAGAGCAGGTCGCATCTGCATACAGACTCTGTGGGAGGGAGGCAAAAGTCACTCATATTCCGAATGTGAGGTCACAGTTCTTTTGTACAAATAAAGGACCCATGAGTGAATGCCAAAGGCAAACAATCACATGATAAAATATTAACTGAAAAAAGGAGTACTCAAAAGTGTGATAGGCGTTTTCAACCACGTAGGTTGAAAGAGTTTGGCCCTTTAATATAGAATCACCAAAGTCAACAGGAGCACTTGACCCTTATACCAATACGGGTAAAGTGCACCTGTTGACTTTGGTGATTCTATATTAAAGGGCCAAACTCTGCAACTTGCTATTCAGCATAGCAGGAAAGATACTGAAGTTGGAAGGTATCTCAAATTTCATCTAGTCCAACTCCTAGCCACCACTACAGCACACCTGATAGGTGGCTATCCAACCTCTGCTTGAAAACTTCCACCAAAGGAGTGCCCATCACTTTCTGATGCAAGATTTTGAACAGCTGCTGTGGATAAGTAATGGCCATTGTGGATATTTGAAAAAGTGGTCAACACAGCGCAAGAAGGATGTGATTGTAGTGCAGAAACTTGCACAAGTTCCAGTTCTTCAAGTCCAGTGAAATAAAGTAGATTTTGCATTACATTGAGAATAATTAAAGTATAGTATCAAAGTACCCATCACTCGGGGTGTTTAATAAAGTTTATCAAAACGTGCGGTAATAACAACATATACGTCTACAGGGTTGCTGATGTTCTTACTCTTTTGCTGGAGTTCTTCCTTTGCTTGGACCTTCTCACTCTTGCATTTTGCATCACTGATGAGTAGCTATAAAAATTCTGTCATGGACCTGTAGGAAAGGATGACTTAAAGTTTATTGCCCAACCCCTAATCAGTGTTTTACCTTTATGCTGTGGATCAGCTAAGAAATGGCTGTGCAAATATCAGTTCCTGAGAAACAACTTGCTCTCACTTGGCGGTTATCATGGTAAAATCAAAGTGTTTGTGGCCCTGCAGATGTTGTTGGACCACCAGTCTCACCAGCTGGACCTCAGTGTCCGGGCTGAATGATACGGGTAGAAATGCTCCTTCAGGTATACAGGGCCAAGGCCATTTATGGTTATATAAGGCCGGTGTTATATGGTCCTGGCAGCTGCCCCCAGTTGTAGTTTCCGAGTCATCTTCAAAGGTAGCCCCACATAGAGCGCATTGCAGTAGTCCAAGTGGGAGATAACCAGAGCTTGTACCACTCTGGTGAGATAGAGCACAGGCAGGTAGGGACTGATGGAGCTGGTAGACAGCTGCCTTGAATTTAGAATTAACCTGTGTCTCCATGGACAGCCGTGAGTCCAAAATGACCCCAAGGCTATGCACCTGGTTCTTTAGGGGCACAGAATCACTCTGAAACCCAGGAACCCTCCAATGCAGCCCTAGATACATGCCCCACCCTCCCCAGTCATGGCACTGGAGCAAGTGGGGCAAAGAGGATGACAGAAACCTGGCTAAGTGAGACCCCAGCATCATGTTTGCCCATTGCCATCACTTCATGGTAGATATCCAGCTTGGAAGTGGGCAGGGGTTGGGGGGCCGGAGGGACAGCTGTTTGGATTCCAGGCCAACTTACAACTTCAGCAAAACGCAATCTTTGTTGTTGGGGAAACAGGGCTGAAGGCAGCGCGGCCTCATTATATGGCAAATAATAAAATGATCTTGGAAATTACTGTCATTGAGGATAAGTATTGAAAGTAATGAAACCTGACAAATTCGAGTTTAATAGACCTTCCTCGAGATTAGCTTGATCCATTAGGCTTGCTCCCTGCCTCCCAGATAGCCTTGTGGTCGTGAAGGACTTTTGAAAATCCAAAAGTAAATTTCGCTAACGGACGATGTTAGGGCCACCCAGCTGAGGGCCCTTGTAAAGTGAGAGGGAAGGAGATTAGCCTGACTCATCTTCTCTCCCAGAAGGAGGCCCGCAAACGTGACTTGAATTCCATTAGCCAAGGACAGAACAATAAGACTACCAGGGCTGAGCTGTAGCTTAGTGGCAGAGCCCTGCTTTGGATGCTCAGGAAGCTGCCTTACATTGAGCCAGTTCCTTGGTCCATCTAGCTCAGCATGGTCTGCTCTGTTTGGCAGCAGCTCTCCAGGTTTCAGGCAGGGAATCTTTCCCAAGCATGCTGCCAGGGATTGAACCTTGGGCTTTCTGCATGCTGCTGAGCTGCGGTCCTTCCCATGTTCAAACCCTGACCTACCCAATTCCCAGCAGGACTGGGAATCGGAATCCATGTCTGAGATTAGACTGACTTGTTTATTTTCCACATCAGCCAACAGCAGCAACATGGTATGGTGCTGTTTCCTTCCGTTTCTGAGCTTCTGGGCCCATTCCAGAGCCAACGTTGAACCGGCTATATAAATCGATAAACTGGCTAACACTGAATCAGACCTTTACACCATCTATCCCAGTTTGGGGCTAGAATGAAAATAGCCCTGTCCATGCATTACTTGTGTGTATGGCATTAATGTCCCATGGCAGGAACTTGGCTGCACTCCTGGCCATGCCCCTGAGATTGTACCCTTGCAGGCACACCAACTGTAGCAGACAGAGGTGTCATCAGCCCCCTCAATATTCCTTAGCAGGAGACTCAGCCCCCCAAATATTGAGGGAGTGGAGGAGGTCGAACCACTTAGCTTAGTGTGGCGCAGCTAGGCTGTGGTGCAAGGTTGAACCGGCCTAAGCGGCATCTCCCAACATTGCGCAGGCTGGCGCAGCCTTCCGCTAGACCACACTGGTTTGGCCTGCACCGCGTTGGAAGATTTGTGGCATGTAGCACACGTGTGACATGTGTGCCACACATGCCATTGCCCGCCCCCGCCCCCAATCTTGGGGGAAACTCGGCTCCTGCGACCCTTGCCTTTGCTGTTGTATAAACATAGGAAAAGAACCTGTGTGGAGCTCCTGTGCCTCAAATATCCATGTGGGAGTCCTGACTGAATGGAGATTCTAAGCTCCAAATCATGAGCAGTTGCCATTTTGTTTTCAGTTCCTTTTCTAATAGTTACCTAATATGCAATTCGCCCTTTTCACAGCTGCACATCTTCAACAAACTATCCACCACAACCCCAAGGTTTTTCCCTTGGTTAGTCACCACCAGTAAGTACATATGTGAAGTCAGGACTTTTTTGATCCAATGCATATCCCTTTAAACTTCCTTACATTGAATTGCATTTGAATGCCCATTCAGACAACGTGGAGCAACCTGCAAACCTTTGTTCTTGTTCTTTTTACCAGCTGAGGACTATATTGTACGCCTGTTCTGTGTGTTAGTGTCCGGGAGCCGTTCAAACACCTCTTGCAAAAGTGTTCTAAGATGCTGCCACAAAAGCCTTGCTAATGAGACACATAAAGCCCTGAGTGTGGCTCTGATGTTCTGGGCCTGAAGTTTTAGTGAGCAGTAAATGAATCTGCAATATTTTGCCCAATGTACTGTTGGGGAAAGTTGCAAGGGAGAACTGTTTCCATTTTCAGAGCATACTTTTCTTCCTTTGGTGAACAGACATTGCTTAATGAGTTGTGAAATCAAACACTTTGATGGCAGGAAGATCAAATTGCTGAGTCTTAATCTAGGGTTGGTAATTTGTACAAAACTGCCTTTCTTCCCATACCATCTAGAAGTGGACCTTTTCAACTATGAGAAGAGGAGGAGGGAGCCTGAGTCTTGCTGCCTCTTATTCCAAGTCCTTCAAAATGGGGATAGCCAGCTCTCTAGATGCTGTTAGACTACAACTCCCATCAGCTCTAGCCAGATAGCCAGTTGTCAGAGATTATGGGAGTTGTAATCCAGCAACGTATATGTAGGTCACCACATTGGCTATATTTGATAGCTACTTGAAACAGATATGAATATAAGCTTTTATTTTTCTTACTTCAGAAGATACGTAATATCTGAACTTTCTGGTTATGTTGTTTAGCTCTTTCCTGCTCTAACTTGTGCTAATAGATAAATTCCCATCGATTGCAGTCAAGCACGCAGAGCAGAACCGATCAATTGAAAAGTAAAGTTAAGACAACAAGTACACTTCTTTTTCCACTTACCTTAATGGAAAGCTTTCAGGCCAGATCTGTCTTTGGTGCAACAGGACTTACGATGAGCGATTTGGACCAAGGATAGTGTTGGCTCCTCCCATTTTGTTTTGACCTTTTCAGATTGTTGCTGTACAGGACTGATACGATTAAACATGCTCGGTGATATCCAAGCTTGAAAAATGGAAAAGGCAAAGCTGGAGTGAATGTTATTCTTTGTTTTCTTTAAGGGAAAGGGTTGGTGATTGAGTTTTTTTATAATATAGATCTGAGAACACTAGAATTGGTTCCAGATAAATGCTAAAACTTCGTTTCACGTTCCCCGAACAAGTTACAGTTATAGATTTGGCACAGCACCAGAACATCGCTGTGTTTATGCGCAACTGTCCAGTGAGGTTAAAGTATCTTTTCTGTATGTTTATAGCTCATGACAGTTTTGAGTGAGATGTCAGCGCCTACGGATGTGCTACTCACTCATTCATCAAAAATCTGTGCAAACTGGTTGCATGATTCAACAAAAAATACACGGCCGTCCTAAAGTGCACTAAGGAGGAACAAAATATGCTTGTTTGACAATATCAAGTGTTAGTCAAGGCTTGGGGATTTCACGAAAGCTCTCGCTTTACGCAACGAGATTACCATGCAGGAACAAGAAGGGACATAATTGTGGAATTGCTATGATTTCCGCCCCCCCCTGCCCTACATTGATCATGATTACAATCTTTTTCATTCACTGATGGTGGGATAAAGGAATTGGGGAGGGTGGGGTGTTGCACCTCATTTTGACTATGAGAAGACTGTGCGGATTGTTGGCTGTAGGTTCCGCACAACCACACACAAAAAAAACCCCACAAGCTAATATGAAAGCCAAAACATTTCCCACACTAGATGGATCTATGGTTGGAATCATAGAATTGTACGAGGCACTACGTGAAAACATTGGATTGGCTGGGCTATTAAGAAGGGCCATAAGATTGCTTGTGACAGCAGTCAGACTATGTTTTCAAAAAGAAAAGGAAAAGCTCTGCTGCTGTCGCTTGTCCAAATACACTCCCCACACCTTCCAAATGCCCCCTCCCCAATTTCCGGTAATAAAAAGAAGGAATCAAAAACATTTAGAAAAGATGTAGTTAAAGATATACTAAAAAAAGACAATCGTCCTGCAATATATTAGCCATAGGGTGGCAATGCTAAATAAAGGAAGAAGCCATAAAATTGCATAAAATTTACATATGCTGAGTTACGGATATATGCACAGGCGACGCTGGATTTCAGCATCAGTGTCAGCCCTTGTGGAAAGGCATGAGAAGTGCTCAACATTTTTCAACGTTTCACCACTGAGTTGGATTTGTGGCACTGCAGAGGGGTTATTTTGTACTTGTCGGTACAGCACTTCGGTTTTTTGGATGTTGAGTGATAGGCCAAGCTTTTCGTAAGCTTCTGTGAAGATATTTAGGATGGATTCTGTGGAAGGATGTGAGGATCCAGAATTGGCCTCCACAGTCACTTACGGACTCATTGTTCAAACCGTGTTTATGGAAGACAATCTTACTCGGCTACGAGCTATTGGCGAAGAAGAAGAAGAAGAAGAAGAAGAAGAAGAAGAAGAAGAAGAAAGATGCACACTCAGAAAGAAGTGCTGTAATTTAAATAGAAGGGCAAAACAACTCACCATAGTGAGCCAACCTGTGTACCTGCTCACCCTGTTTTGTGAGTACTGTTGGTGGGTCACTTCAGGGTCCCTGGTCTTCTTTCAGAAATTGGACTTGGACCAGACAGCCTGCCTTAAAATGGAGGCCTGTCCTTGGAGAGTCCAACAAATACAGGGCATTTCTACGTAAAGGAGGACAGAGGGCTTCCTGCTTAACACCTCTGCAGCTGCAGCCTGTGAAATAACAGGCTGCGCATTGTCTGGTGGTGCTTCACTGTTCATGCGCAGGCATTCTCACATATGTACATTGCAGACAAGATGGATCGTCCCTTGCCCCCCTCCTAAGGAGTGAGCGGCCCAAAACACCGATCAGAAGCAGAGACCGTCTTTAGTAAATAGGGTCAGCTGGGGCCACCCCACCCAAATGGGAGGCAGCATTCATGATTTATCTACTCGTTGTTTTTTTAGATGTAAGACTTTTATCACCGTTGCAGAATATCCTAAACCACATTAACTAGTTCTGTGTGAAGCATTACCATGAATAATTGAAGTTAATCTGCACTTGTTAACAAAATGCATCAGGAGATACATTATCCATGCCTTAATTGAAGCCGTGTGCTTAGGCCTCATTCTGCAAAGTACACAGTGCCCCAAGCCCTTAGTTACCATTGAAAATGCTCAGCTCTTAGAAACTCAAGGCCTGTGCTATTTACTAAAGTGTGTTTGTGTGTGAAAAGTGGCCTTTAATGGGCGCAAACAATATTCTTATGGGAGCCCATTTTGAATCTGCTGCGGCAACACATTGTAGATTCTTTTGACATCATCCAGTAGTCCGGCTTTATTTAGCCATGGCAACTGTGTCAAATTAACTCCCGTCTTCCAGTAGCGAGACTGCAGCTTTGTTTGTTTTTCCTCTCAAGGGAATCATCGTTATAAGATGCATTAATAGTCACCAGAAAAAAATGGGAGGGAAATTTTGAATAAAAGTTTAGCTTTTCATATTGTTCTGATTTATTTTCTTTAAGGTGGTAGTCTACCCTTTTCAGGATGCTGAAAATTATAGAGACAGTGGTTTCATACAACCCCGGAAAGGGAAATTGCTCATGGCCCTTACAGTTTCCATATGATAGTCATGCAGAAGTTGGGGCGCGGCAGCCATGTGAAAGCGGGCAAATGTTACATGAAAACCTAAGAAGAAGAATAAAAAAAACTTCGCTCCCTTTCCAAGTTACAAAGCTGATAAAATAAAGAGAGGTCTAAGTACCGAGAAGTACAAAATCACTTTAGAAAATGAAGACGTTTATTATAATAATGTGTGGTGGAGTATATTAAAACTGTCTCACACTTGTAAGTCTTTGGTGGGAGGAAATGTTGTTGTTATTGCCATAATGTTCCTTTTCTGTTGTGAACATGCTTTCGTGAAAAATCAATAAATCACTTTTTTTTAAATGACCAAAATAATGTTTGTCTTTTTTCATAGGGATTTGCATCTATGCTACAATATATCTTTAAATACTTATAAGGGGGTCATGTGCTAGGGAGATATTTTATAGATTTGAGATCAGAACTGATTTGTGATACAGTCATACCTCAGAAGTTGAATGGAATCCGTTCCAGAAGTCCCTTCGATTTCGTTCGGAAACTAAGGTGCAGCTTCTGATTGGCTGCAGGAAGCAGCTCCTGCAGCCAATCAGAAGCTGCAGAAGCCGCGTTGGACATTTGGGTTCCAAAGAAAGTTTGCAAACCGGAACACTCACTTCCAGGTTTGCGGTGTTCGGGAGTCAAAATGTTTGACTCGCAAGGTGGTCAGAATCCAAGGTACGACTGTATATGTCCACAGCTGGATGGGTGATGGGTGGGACACAGCCCATGGTAGTGGCAGGTGGAGCCACTGTCACAGTTAAGAGCTGGTGAGCAACCGCTGGTCAGCCATGATGCCCATGGACAGAAAATGGAGGTGCAATCCTCTGCCTGAGTGCCGTGGCGCATTATTGGACTGACCCTGTTACTGGGGTTGCACATTTGATTAGGAACTCTAGTGTGCGTGTGTATAGCCCTTTTCGCCTTCAGCCGGTTCTGTGGAGATTGTAGGCAAGCCAGCTGCCTGATCTTCTGCCCTGTCCATGCATTCGGTCAGTATGTCTAGTCAAAGGTGACATTAGGACTTATTATCATGCATGACTGACATGAAGAGGTCAGATTGTGCAGCAAAATATACTCTCTGGGGGAAATTGTGGCCAGTATGAGGATACCAAGCCAGAAAGATCTAAATGGTCCAAATAAAGCTCTGGTTAAAGGTAATGCAAGGGACAGTTGGTCCCAGATGAGGGTCCAAACCCCCACCCATATCAGTGGGTACACTCATAAAGTTCACAATGTACAGTAGATACTGTAATGATTACATAAGCAACACCTCCAACCACTAGGTGGTGCTATTCCATGTTCGTTGAGGTCAGCTAAAGTTCCATTGGCTTGGCTTGTGACTGTGTTGTAAGGACCAGATTTATTCTAGAGACTGGTTTAGATTGCAGGTCTCTAATACTCTGTTATTTCAACCAAGTATTACATTACGCTGCTTCAGTCATTACGCATGCATGGAGCTCCCTTGCTGGATTGGGGCAATTCCTCAACACACACACACACACACACACACACACACACACACACACACCCTTACTTGGTACCTGCATAATACATAAAAGCCACATTAGGCAAGGTGTGTGACTAGGCACCTCTGGCAGTTGCTGGTTCCTTGGTCTGAACCAAGTTCCTCTGCAGCTTTATTCTCCTTAAATACGACCCATTTAAGCTTGAATAATATTAAGCAGCATTTTAATAGGAAGTGAGCATTTCTCTTCAGAAGCAGAGCAAGAAAGCCGGGGGGCAAAAGCGGCGGCAGGGGGTGCACAAGGGTGGTGGTGGGGAAGAGATGTAATAATAATAATGGAACCAAAACTGTGTGCCTTTTACAAGAGACCTATAAAATGTAATCTTCCTCCCTGAACTCTTGCCTTTTCAAAGGATGAAGATTAGACTTGCCACTTAGCTAATGTACTTGAGAGGAATTCTAGGTTCTACCTCGTTTGGAGTTTCCATCTGAAAAATTCCATGTGTAGAATTGTTTTCCTTCTTCGCGTGACAAAATTGGGACCGTATAAATTGTTGTGAAATATGGACAGCAGTCAAAAGATGAAACCTCACCAGGAGTGTCTTACCCATAGAGGCTAGTGGCGCGGGACGGCCACTGGAGGGCGCAGGGAAGAGGCGGTAGCTGGACGTTGTGCCTCCCGGCATCAGCTCACCTCCCTCACCCGCCTCTGCCATGCCGCGCCGAAGCAGCGCCGCGCCCGGAGCCTCCATCTGCTGTGGCCACCGCAGCACAAAGCGGCCAGCTGAGCCGGGAGGCGCCACGTCCAGTCTCCACCTCTTCCCTGCTGGAGGAGCCGCCCTCCAACCGCTGCCTGCCTCCTCTAGCCCCACCAGCAGCACCGTCCTCCCTAAAAAACTCTGGGAAACATGGGGGGGGGCGCCGGAGGGAGCTTTGCACCACAGCGCTGGATATGCTTAAGACGGCCCTGAACCTCACTCCAAATAAAGCTACAATCAAACCTTTGATGGCAGCAGGTGTGCTTGTGGTATTTAAAATGGTAGCTGTTCATGGCGACTGTGTACTATGTTCAGTAACTGAGACAATATCTACCAGTTTCTGGGGGTCCTGAGTGGGTGAATACTGTTGTGCTCATGTCCTACTTGTGGGCTTCCCTTAGCCATCTAGTTGACCACTATGAGAGCAGTGGTCTAGATTAGGCCTTTGGTCTGACCCAATGGAGCTCCCCTTATGCTCTTCAACTAGTGTTTCTTGAAGAGAACTTACAAAGCGTGAAAGAGAAACTCATCTCTCAACTCATCTCTCAAACTCAACTCGTCTCTCCAAACACTCAGGAATGGGTTGATGGATGCATCTTGGAGGGTATCCTATTGCCTGCTGTTGAATATTTATATATGTATCTCCCTTATTCTCACAACAAACAGGAGTTTAAGAATAATGTAAGAAGAGCTCTCCAATGTCTGACCCGAAATTCATCTAGTTCACACTGCAGTCCACCCTGCCCAAGTGGAATACTCAGGTGTTCTGGGGGCTGGCAAGGATTCTGTTGGCAGCATGACATGTTTGTCAGGTGGAAGGCGGAGCTCCATGCCTGGGGGGGTTGACACTGGCATTTCTTCACAGGGTGGACTGGGTGGAAGGACAGCCCTATTCAGTCCAATGCCTCCAGCCTAGCTGGCTCAAAAGGGGGTTGAATTGCAGTCTTAGCATGCTTGGTTTCTCAACGAACTGCCTCGGAAAGGCAACAGCCAAGACCTGAAGTCAGTACAGTGGTACTTCAGGTTAAGTACTTAATTCGTTCCGGAGGTTTGTACTTAACCTGAAACTGTTCTTAACCTGAAGCACCACTTTAGTTAATCGGGCCTCCCGCTGCTGCTGCGCCGCTGGAGCACAATTTCTGTTCTCATCCTGAAGCAAAGTTATTAACCTGAAGCACTATTTCTGGGTTAGCGGAGTCTGTAACCTGAAGCGTATGTAACCCGAGGTACCACTGTAATACTCATGTGCCGACCCTGTAGAGCTGTTTCCCAAACTTGGGCCTCCAACTGTTTTTTTATTACAACTCCCAGTGGTCAGGGATGATGGGAATTGTAGCCCCAAAACAACTAGAGACCCAAGTTTGGGAAACACAGCCCTTGGGTTCGCCAAACAGCAGAGCAGCCACTAAAATGGGCAACAGCAATGGAAACGTCTGGCTCTGTGCAAGCCACTTGTAGTTTCTGCTGAAGCAAAGTGACACTGAGCCTGAGTCTTTGGCACCTGGGTTGATGATAAGGATGGGAATAACATTGTATGTGATAAGAGGCTGAGAAGGCCATTTCAGGCAGCACAGCAGGCTGTGAAACTGTAACATTCTTACTGGTTTGGAAAAGATGCTTATGTGAAATGTGTCTAGGACTTGCATGGCAATGGAAAACAAAAGCAAATTGCTTTTGGCTACACTTCCCTCCCCCCCCCCCCCGAAAGATTTTGAGCAGGGTCTGGTCCCATCTCTGATCATTATAAAGAGAGGTCTCCTTACTACATGTTCTCCTTTCCATTGTAGTGAGAATATTCCTTGGCTTTCGGCCTCTGAATACCAGTTGCTAGTTAAGGAGGCAGCTGTTGCACTCAGGTCCTGTTGGCAAGCTTCCCATGGGCATCTGGTTGGCCACTATCAAAACAGGATGTTGCTGGACTAGGTGGGCCTCTGGCCTGATCCAGCAGAGCTCTCTTTACATTTACTGGTTCAGCTTTACTCACTAGGGTTCAATCCTGAAGCCGCATGAATACCCACCTGCCTTTCCCTGTCCTCTTGAATACATTTCATAACCAAAGATGGCCATAACTCACGGGATTTTCATTGTTCCTCAATTCTTCTGATAGTGCTCACTGTGTTGGCATCACTTGTGGCACTCAGGTCCTGCTTTTAGGCTTCCTATGGACATCTTAAAAAAGCAGAGACATCACCTTGCCAACAAAGGTCCGTATAGTTAAAGCCATGGTTTTCCCAGTAGTGATGTATGGAAGTGAAAGCTGGACCATAAAGAAGGCTGATTGTCGAAGAATTGATGCTTTTGAATTATGATGCTGGAGGAGACTCTTGAGAGTCCCATGGACTGCAAGAAGATCAAACCTATCCATTCTGAAGGAAATCAGCCCTGAGTGCTCACTGGAAGGACAGATCCTGAAGCTGAGACTCCAATACTTTGGCCACCTCATGAGAAGAGAAGACTTCCTGGAAAAGAACCTGATGTTGGGAAAGATGGAGGGCACAAGGAGAAGGGGACGACAGAGGACGAGATGGTTGGAGAGTGTTCTCGAAGCTACCAGCATGAGTTTGACCAAACTGCGGGAGGCAGTGGAAGACAGGAGCGTCTGGCGTGCTCTGGTCCATGGGGCCACGAAGAGTCGGGCACGACTAAACGACTAAACAACAACAACAACATGGACATCTGGCAGGCCACTGTGAAAACAGGTTGTTGGTCTAGGTGGGTCTTTGGCCTGATCCAACAGGCTTTTCTTACGTTCTCATGTCTTTATTCTCTTTTAATAGCAAGTACTCCAATCTTCCTGTCTTGTCTTGGAGGCATTAACACAGCAGCATGTAACCGCCAGGGAAGGTGGACGAGCTCCTCTTTATATACTGTATGAACGCATTTGTGTGGGTTGAAGAGTATCTCTGCTTCTTTGGGGATTTGTGTGAGAGTGGCGATGCCTGTGAGCCTATGGGGATGGCTGTGTATGAGAGCTAAGCTGGGAATGCTTGTGTGTGTGTATATCCTTTAATTTTTATTCCTGCAGAAAAACAACATCAACAACAGCCAATGGGTCAATCGCAGCCTGTAAATTCTGTTACTGTAATTGCAGTAATGGGTAATCTGCAGGGATAGGTTTGTAAGTGTGAAGCAGATGCCGAGAATGGAGAAAGACGGAAACACTCCACTCAGTTGCTATTTTCCCAATGGCTCTGTCCCTACCTTTGCGTCCCCTCCTGGCCCCACCCACTTTGCACTGGGAACCATCTTGGCTGTGAGTCCTAGCATACATGTTCCCTGCCTTGCAGGACTTTCCCCACCTGGCCATTTCAATGATTGATTGAGATGTTGTATTGGGGAAGCCTACTTTGTGCATAGGCTCTCCCTGTGGTTTAGAACAGTGAATAGCAACTGAACAGGCTAGTCAGTTTCATGAATGAGTTATTCAGATTTGTTGGAGTCTTCCCTTGCAATCTACTTGCGCAATTAGTCTCCATGGCACCCTAGAGCAATGGTGTTGCCCCCTGGTTGGCTGTTTGTTTGCTTCTATGATTTCTCAATTTGTCCTCAGTGCAAGGCAAGAAGCTACTTTTAGGGTGCATACAATTAAATGGATTGATATAAGCAAATTGGGGGTGGTCATTTCTTGTTTCCACTGCAAAATATTGAAATTCCCCTGATCCTTTCATGCTTCAACTGTTCACTGGATGTTTATCCTTTTGCGGAAGAAATATATCCTTAATAAACTAAAATCCTTCTGTTTGCTTTAAACTTGTTGTCTCTCAATTGCATCAAAGGACCGCCATTAATGATTAACGACAAAAGGCATAATCAAGATCCCTATTGATTTTCCCTAGAGTAATCATGATTTTATACATCTGTTTTATTGCCTTTTGTGCTTTCATGCCCATACTAAAGAATACAATGTTTGTCATCTCTTCTGATATGCAAATTGTTCCATAGTCAGGTCATTATTTAAAAACAGTTGCTCTGCGTGCCTTCATATCTGCAAAGAGAGAAACCAAAAGTGTAACTGTGGTATGTCGAGAAAGAACCATCAGAGAACCACCAGAAGCCACACAAATGCACATTTAATTACTCATCAGCTTTCCTTTTCATGATGCTGGCTGGGCAGGTGGGAACTGTAGTCCAACAATAAATGGAGGGCACCAGGCTGAGGAAGACTGCTGCCTGTCTATCATTGCTCTCAACCAGTAGAGCTCCAGTCGGATCCTGAGGTTTCCGCAACTGGAGGGACCGCTTCTGCGCATGCATGCGGCACGGTAGAACGCTTCTGCGCATGCGCGTGCAGTGAAACACTTCTGGGGTTGCCGCTTTTGCAACCTGAAGTTTACTTTACCCGAGGGTAACGTAAGCTGAGGTGCTACTGTAATAGCTTGTGGACATGTGGTGGTTACATGTGCCTGGAAACTGATGGGTAACTAATGGAATTGGGTCAGTTGAGTCCTTAACAGTTTGAGAGGCCTAAGCCCTGGCTATTTGGGACTGGGCCCCAGATCTCCTACCTCTGCCCCTCCCCTTGGAAACTTTATTTACGTTTACCTTTACAGGGAAGCATTCCTTCTGAACTAAATGTCCACTTATGCATATAAAATATCACTTGTAAAGTTGAATGCTGGGTCTGGGCCCTACATCTTTAATCAGACCCACAAGGTACAGTGGTACCTCGGGTTACATTCGCTTCAGGTTACATACGCTTCAGGTTACACACTCCGCTAATCCAGAAATAGTGCTTCAGGTTAAGAACTTTGCTTCAGGATAAGAACAGAAATCGGGCTCCGGCAGCACAGCAGCAGCAGGAGGCCCCATTAGCGAAAGTGGTATTTCAGGTTAAGAACAGTTTCAGGTTAAGAACGGACCTCCGGAACGAATCAAGTACTTAACCTGAGGTACCACTGTATATGGATTAGCCTGCTTGTAGCAGGGTAGTAAGTGCTGATATTATACATTTACATTTAACCTGGGTTATCTACTTGGTACTGCATTTCTGTCCTGAACCGGGTTCCCAGCTGCTTTTGTGGTATAACCCTTGCACCTTTAATAACCCCACAGCAAGCAAAAGCTTGGCCAGAGACACTTCCCCCAAAACTACATGCTCATCTACGTAATTTGGAGCTGTTAAGCATGTCTTTAAAGTACGATGCCACTGTGAGAAGAGGATGCTAGAGGTAACAGGCCTTTAGTCTGGTTCAGTAGGGCTCTTGCAGGAATCGCGCCAGACAAAAAGGCTGGCAACCCTAGCTAGGGAACATATTAAACGTCAGTTTTGGATTCCTGCTGTGTTGTTGTGATGGAGATTGGTTTGACGAATGGCACCCTTCCCAGATTCAACTTGTGGCAATGCAAAATGTTTTGTGGATGGCAATTCCAGAGACTTGACACTGAGATAATTAATGTTGCTATCTTGAAAAGTTGAGGTTTATGCCTTAGTATAAATATTTGCAGGAACATTTGAGATTTAGTAGCCTGACATGCAGAAATTAAGAAGCTGAAACTTTCCCCGGAGTAGAACTGAAGTCTGGAGGCAGGCGGTGATGTTTAAGAGAGCTGAAAGTCAATTCAGAGGTCCTTTGTGGGGATACATTTCTTTTCTCCCACTGTCGGCTTTGGTCAAACAGGTTCTGTGGGTTTTTGAAGTCATTCAAAGCCTGCATACCAGAAGTGGGAAGAATTTATGCATCCCAAAGAGTGATCAAACCACCTTCAACTTGGTAAAAGCGGGACAGAAACACCTCTTTCCAACCAAAGTAATGGGAAAATATTTGCCTTTAATTCAATAGTGTTGAAGGCACAGGAGCAAGAGCAATTAAAAGTTGACAGCCCGATCATCAGAAGGAGAGACTGGAAAAGTAGTGTTTTTCTGTAGTGAATGATCTTTTTTTAAGGTATGCAGTGCAACCCTAGATATGCCTACTGACTATGAGAAGCAATTTCCACTTTGTAAAATGGCACTTATTTCCAAATGGGCATATACAGGATTGCGGCGTCTATTTAACTTGAATTTGTTCTTTCGTTTTTATAGCCGTTAGGACCCTATTGTATATCACAATTTTATCAGCCTTTCTGCTCTTTATGAAGCGTATTTCCTTTCACAACTCAAGTTCCACAGAGGTTGCTTTTTAAAACTCTGTTGTCTTGGCTTTGTGTGTGTGCGTGTGTGTGCGCATGCGCTTGTTTTTAAATCACACGGCTGCTGTGGAAAGACTTAGAACTTAAAGCTTCTCCATTTGCCACCAAATGAACTAGGAGCTGAACTCTGCTGGTCAGACAGGTTGTTGAATGAGTGCATGTGACACAGTTTCAAAGCAGGATTTTGCCAACACCCTTCAGCTCGATGGGAGATACAAGAATCTTGTCAGGCATAGGGCTTCAGAGGAGTTAAGACTTGTGCTGGTACACAAAGATTGCAAAATACTTTGTTACTGTTGTCTTGATTCTCTCTCATTCACACTCTTTCAAACTCAGCTGCTTTTCTCCCTTTCTGCAAATGGGGACAATGGGAATTCCGAAGTGTTATTTTATGCTCCAGTCCAAGAAGTGGATGGAAAGAGCCATATTACAAGCTCAGTGTGGCAGTTCCTGGTAGGTGATTGTGCCTTTTAAAATTTAAAGAATAATGCAGCAATGTGCCTAAGAGGAACAAGCAGTGCAACTATTTCCCCCCCCCCCCCCCCAATACTGGCTGAATCAGAGTGTTAGTTGTGTGTGTGGACCTTTACGAAGTGCAAATGTTAAACTTCTCTGCTTCCCTTTGCATGCTTACACGTTAGTTTATGTGTGTTGCGTAAAACCTCTTGCAAGCTGGATATTCCTGCAATACTTCTAAAACTTGCTCCAGAGACTGCCTCTTGTGCTTTTGCCTAGTTATTTCTTATTCTCCGAGTATCATCTGACATTCAGTCTGTATGCAAGTCCCATTGGCTTCACAGAGGGGAGAGGCGCTGACTTATTGGAGGGTGGAATTTGGCCTTCAGTTAGTTTCATTTTTAACTTTTGCACACTTCGTCCAAGGCTGACTCGCCCAAGGTTTAACTGCAGTTTCTAAAGCTGCGTGAGCAGCTTGCCTGAACTAGCAAAAGGGGCTTGGAAACCAACGTGCGAAGTTGGGCAAAGTCCCATTTAAGCAAATGGCTTACGTCTACAGCAAGTACTCTAACATCGACTACTACGTTTCAGGATGCTAACTGCACAAACACTGCCTTTGAGTTAAACAAGTGGATGAAAATTTGCTCTTATTAATGTAAAGGCCTCGGAGGGGGAAGGGACAGGAAAGGCTGTTGCTACATTTATTATCTGGGCCGGGGGGGGGGGGAAGAATTTTGTTTTTCAAAATAAATTAAAATATGATTTAATTTTTTATTGCTATGCCCTGGATTGTGCAAGTTATCACGCAAACCGTGCCAGCCTGGGTGGCATTTTAGTATAACTCTGTTTCCTCAGAGCAGAAGCAAATGTAAAAAAAGAGTAATCAAGAGCTGAAATAATTGAAAGTGACTGTCGCTGTAAGTCTATTCCTTTTGGTCGCAGTGCTTCTCATTCATCACGTGTGTATCGGTCTTCTTGCATCCGTAGAGCTGGGTTTCGTTTTAAGGTCAGCCTTCAATTTCTGGAGAATATAATTTAAAGCTATTTATAGTGCTTTGCGATTGCCTGTAATAACTAATAGGGAGAAGGGGGACGAGCAGGGTGCGTGTGTGAGAAAGGCCTGCTTTCTGCAGCCGAGAAATAAATGTGCAACAGCTGTGTCTGCCTTAACTTGATTAAAGTTTTTTTTTTTTAAGTGTAAACATAAGAATGACTCCGGACAAAAGAGCAGGAGCGAGCCGGGCTATCTGTTGTTATTGTAAGACTCTTTGCAGGCGTTAACTCTGGCTCATCGGGAGAGCGCTAGATTTCTGTGTTTAAAGTTTACTTTGCTGTTTGTCTGGAGTGGGGTCAGTGTTGTGGTGAATAATTTATAGGCAGCATGAATGAGCTCATTAGTCACCTTTTCAGAGTTTAAATGAGTTTGGTGGTTGTCATTACATGGGCCCTTCTGTTCAGCCGCATGGCAAAATGACAGTTTGGCAGTTGGCTTGCTTGTAGCAGGCTAGGCCGCCTCTTTTCAGCGTGGGGTTTTCTTTTGTGTCCTATTCAAACCCCCCATTCTGTTGCCCAGCGCTGGTCCGGTAACTCTCAGGCTTCGGGCGTTTCTTCAGCGGAGAGCTGGTGCTTGCATTATATCGCTCCTGGGTCCTCTTATTGTAGACTCTGGTGTCCTCCTTCTGAGTTATCCGTCATTTTCATGCAACCAGCAGTTCTGGAGAATCCTGGTGTTTTTATGAGGAGACTCCAAAGCAGCCCATCTAGGACTGAGGATGCTCAGAGGCCACGCAATACTGTTTGGATGTGGGGAGAAACCGAAAACAAAGGAGGAGTATCATGGAATTGTAGAGTTGGAATGACCCCAAGGGTCATCTAGTCCAACCCGCTGCAATGCAGAAATCTTCACACAAATGCGGGCTAGAACCCATAAGCCTCAGAATAAGAGTTTTATGCTCTACCGAATGAGCTATTCCAAGGAGTGGGATGAAGTCTCCTGAAAAAGGGCCTGGCTAGGTGCTTGGAAGCCTGAACGAGAACCCTCCAGAACTGCAACATTTCGTTGTAGGCCTTGCTTATCAAGAGAGATCGCTTTACTCTCTGTGACGCAAATATGGTAGTGAAGAAGTAGTAACCGGAGTGAGGTTGCCATTTTTCTTTTTGCTAACTCTTCCCTGCTGCATGCAAAAGTTTAGCAAGGGAAGCTTTTCCTGGCGTGGAGAGGAAGTGATGTGAAAAACTCCCCCCCCCTTTTTAAATATGATTTTTTTATTAGTTTTTTTTAACATATCATTTTCAACAGTAATTAAACATACTTTTACAACTTATTCCAAACTTCCCCTGTTAACCTACGTGTGTTATTGTTAATACTTCTGTTCCTGTATCTTTTAGCAAGCTTTCAACCTCAAACCTCAGACAGCTGTTTTAGTCTAGGAGTGAAAAATAATTTGCTTCGAAGTTTGCTGTTAGATTGTTTGCATGTGGAAGAGTGTGAAGAGGGGCAAGCTTAATGAGCATATCTGTTTAGAAGTTTCATCTCCAATCATCACTTGATCCAAGAATTATTTTGTACACCAGGAAGCATGCAAATAACTAGATTAATATAACAACATAAACAGAGCCTGCTGGATGAGGCCAGGGGCCCATCTAGTCTATTGGGTGCCTGTGGGAAACCTGAGCTGCAGTTTCCAGCAACTGATATTCAGAAGCATCACTGCCAGACCCAGCAGTAGGATAAATGGATTGATTGCGTTTCTCCAAAGAGTGCAAGGTGGCGTACGTGGTTGTCCTCAACAACAACCCTACGAGGTAGGTTAGGCAGAGAGGCAGTGGCTGGCTCAAGATCACTCTGTGAGGCTTAATGGCTGAGTAGGGATTTGAAGCCTAGTATCCTAGGTACTAGGGGACGCGGGTGGTGCTGTGGGTTAAACCACAGAGCCTAGGACTTGCCGATTAGAAGGTCGACGGTTTGAATCCCTGCGACGGGGTGAGCTCCCGTTGCTTGGTCCCTGCTCCTGCCAACCTAGCAGTTTGAAAGCACGTCAAATTGCAAGTAGATAAATAGGTACCGCTCCAGCAGGAAGGTAAACAGCGTTTCCGTGCGCTGCTCTGGTTCGCCAGAAGCGGCTTAGTCATGCTGGCCACATGACCCGGAAGCTGTATGCCTGCTCCCTCGGCCAATAAAGCGAGATGAGCGCCGCAACCCCAGAGTTGGTCACAACTGGACCTAATGGTCAGGGGTCCCTTTACCTTTATCTATCCTAGGCACTTGGGGACGCAGGTGGCGCTGTGGGTTAAACCACAGAGCCTAGGACTTGCCGATCAGAAGGCCGGTGGTTCAAATCCCCGCGACGGGGTGAGCTCCCGTTGCTCCGTCCCTGCTCCTGCCAACCCAGCAGTTTGAAAGCACGTCAAAGTGCAAGCAGATAAATAGGTACCGCTCCGGCAGGAAGGTAAACGGCGTTTGCGTGTGCTGCTCTGGTTCGCCAGAAGCGGCTTAATCATGCTGGCCACATGACCCGGAAGCTGTACGCCGGCTCCCTTGGCCGATAAAGCGAGATGAGCGCCGCAACCCCAGAGTCGGCCATGACTGGACCTAATGGTCAGGGGTCCCTTTACCTTTACCTTTATCCTAGGTATTACTACTACTACTACTACTATTATTATTCATTAAATTTGTATACCAGCCTTCATCTGCAGATCCCAAGGTGGTTCACAACATAAAATGACAACATAAAACCCACAAAATACATGGTAAAAATAAGAACAACAATAACAAACCAATAATCTCCCCCATCTAATGACACATTGAAAAGGGCATCAGATGTCAATCAGCCAAAGGCTTAGTTGAAGAGGAATTATTTTCACCTGGCGCCTAAAGGTGTATAATGGAGGCACCTGCCAGACCTCCCTGGGGAGAGCATCTCACAAAAAGGGAGCCATCACAGAAAAGGCCCGTTCTCGTGTTGTCACCCTCCGGACCTCTCATGGTACTAGTCCAATCCTCTAACCACTACACTACATTGGCTCTCAATAGTGCATCCAGCTAGACCATGACAATTGCAGTTTTTACCAACAGCCCTTTAATATTGGCCTCTAATTTTGTTACTTGGTTTTTATAGTATAAATCAAGTTTCTGAATAGCTACTGGTTGTTTTAAAATTATTTACAGTGGTACCTCTGGATGCGAACGGGATCTGTTCCAGAGCCCTGTTCGCATCCTGAAGCAAACGCAACCCGCTTCTGCGCGTGTCATTTTGAGCGTCTGTGCATGCGCAAGCTGCAAAACCCGGAAGTAACATGTTCCGTTACTTCCGGGTCGCTGCGGAGCACAACCCGAAAATGCTGAACCCGAAGCTATTTCAACCCGAGGTATATTGTGTTTTAATATTTCAATATACCCGAGGTATATTGTGTTTTATTCTGCATTTGAATGTCACTCTGATAACAAGCGGTATTGGGTATAACTAACCAATAAAGCATAAAAGGCTAGCTGCAGAGATTCTTTATGTAATGATGGATGGGGTGGTTGTTGAATTCAACAGACTGCTGAAGCTATCTGTACCAATTAAGGAGTGACCACTTAAGAATTAAAACTGTAGAAAGTATAAGGAAGTGGTATTTTGTGACCTTTATAGCTTAAGGATTTATCTATATGGGAACTATAACCAGGCTAATTCTCCCATTAGTATTAAGATTATAAATTAAACACAAGTTAACCATGGAAAGAGCCTGGTATGAACTTTGTGATCTGGACTAAAGTTCTCAAACTTCATTAAAAAACCCCACAACCTACCACCACCAATTTATTTTATAACCTGAATACTGCAGAGATATTCCTAGTCTAAGGAAAAAACCCACCTTGTCTGTAGAGTTTTAATCCATTTTAGCGGCACTTTGAAATATGTGTGTGTGTGTGTGTGTGTGTGTGTGTGTGTGTATAATTGTCCAGTAGCACCTCTTTTGATTTGCCAGCAGTTCATCAGAAACAATTGATTGGCCAGAGGCACACTTCTTGTTGTTTAGTGGTGTCCAACTCTTCGTGACCCTATGGACTATCAAATGCTCACAAGTTAAATGTACGCGACTTTCGAGTGACTTGTACAGTAGTCATACCTCGGGGTGAATATGCTTCATGTTGAGCGCGTTCGAGTTGCACTCTGCGGCAACCCAGAAGTAACGGAATGCGTTACTTCCGGGTTTCACCACTTGCGCATGCGCACTCAAAATGATGGCATGCGCATGCGCAGAAGCAGCAAAAAGTGACATGTGCGTGCGCAGACATGCCGTCGCTAGTTATGCTTGCTTCTGGATGCGAATGGGGCTCCGGAACGGATCCCGTTTGCATCCCGAGGTACCACTGTACTTGATGCTGAATATTTTGTCAAAAGCTTCATCTTGTTTATCAGTTTACCTGAATCAAATTTGGGGAAATCTCTGCAGCTCACTGGTAGAGCATCTGCTTTGAAAGCAGAAGGTCTCCACTTCATCTCCAGGTAGGGCTGGGAGAGATCCTTGTCTGAAATCCTCGAGCGCCACTGCCAGTCAGTGTAGACACTATTAAGCAACATGGACCAAGGGACTGACTCAATATAAGGCAGCTTCCTATGTTCCTCTTTTTTTTGTGTGTTTTCTATTTTTTTTAAAATAAGATATTTATTAAGGTTTTTTTAAATATTACAGTAAAAATGAAAAAGAAAAAAGAAAAATACAAAATAAAAACACACATATTTTCAGTTACTTATTTTCCTTTAGCTTGTTTCCCGGACCTCCTCGTACCTCCCTTTTTTGTATTCCACTTCAATTTATTGGTTCAGCAAATCCTTACCATTAGATTTTAACCCATTTATAACCCTTTTTTCATATTCTCTTAAAGCATTACAGCTAGAAACTGCTTAATTACTATCCAACATCATTCTATCATTCATTAATTTTACAATATTTCTATAAATAGTCTTTAAATTTCTTCCAATCTTCTTCCACCGACTCTTCTCCCTGGTCTCGGATTCTGCCAGTCATTTCTGCTAATTCCATATAGTCCATCACCTTCATCCGCCATTCTTCCAAAGTGGGTAGATCTTGTGTCTTCCAATACTTTGCAATGAGTATTCTTGCTGCTGTTGTAGCATACATAAAAAAAGTTCTGTCCTTCTTTGGCACCAATTGGCCGACAATGCCCAGAAGAAAGGCCTCTGGTTTCTTCAAGAAGGTATATTTAAATACCTTTTTCAGTTCATTATATATCATTTCCCAGAAAGCCTTAATCCTTGGGCACGTCCACCAAAGGTGAAAGAATGTACCTTCAGTTTCTTTACATTTCCAGCATTTATTATCGGGCAAATGATAGATTTTTGCAAGCTTGACTGGGGTCATGTACCACCTGTATATCATTTTCATAATATTCTCTCTTAGGGCATTACATGCCGTAAACTTCATACCTGTGGTCCATAACTGTTCCCAGTCAGCAAACATAATATTATGTCCAACATCTTGTGCCCATTTAATCATAGCAGATTTCACCGTTTCATCCTGAGTATTCCATTTCAACAGCAAGTTATACATTCTTGATAAATTCTTAGTTTTGGGTTCTAACCGTTCTGTTTCTAATTCTGATTTTTCCACCTGGAAGCCAATTTTCTTATCCAAATTATATGCCTCCATTATCTGATAATAATGAAGCCAATCTCTCACTTTGTTTTTTAGTTTCTTGAAACTCTGCAATTTCAATTTGTCTCCTTCTTGTTCCAAAATTTCCCAATATTTCGGCCATTTGGCCTCCATATTGAGCCTTTTCAGAGCTTTTGCTTCCATCGGTGACAACCACCTTGGGATTTTATTTTCCAATAAATCCTTGTATCTTATCCAAATATTAAACACTGCTTTCCTGACAATATGATTTTTAAATGCTTTATGTGCTTTGACCTTATCATACCATAAATATGCATGCCATCCAAATACGTTGTTAAAACCTTCTAAATCCAAAATGTCTGTATTTTCAAGACGTAGCCATTCTTTCAACCAGCAAAAAGCTGCTGATTCATAATAAAGTTTAAAGTCTGGCAGGGCAAATCCACCTCTTTCCTTTGCATCAGTTAATATCTTAAATTTTATTCTGGGCTTCTTCCTATGTTCTTAAATAATGTCCCTCCAGAACTTTGTCCCAGGTTATTAAAACAAAAATTAAAACCAAAACAAAACACCCCTGTTCTTTATCAGGTTCTTGGCTAAATCTGTATGTAAGCAAACTTTTGTGTTTTGACAATAAACTTAAATCATTTTGCTGTGGCTCTGGGTTTTTTGGGGTTGGGTTTCTTTTTATCTTTTTATCCCTTCCTTTTCTTTCCTTGCCCTTTCCATCCTGCAGCCACTTGTTTTGTTTTTTCCTCCACCATTCATGAATCAATATATTCTTGATTAGGTCTGTAATGTTTACTGACAGTGAACTAGAAGTATATAATTTTAGGGCAAAGTATACAGCTTTCATTATAAGTTGGGAAGTGTGTGTAACTAGAACAGCAACATCCATCAGAGCGAGTTATTATAAGGAGACTGTTTTATACAAAAACACTTTACAGCGCATTTTGTTACGTGAAAATCATTTTTCTTTTTAAAAAATGCACACAAGCCGCAGACGTATAATTTACTCCCTCTGATTGTTGTTGACCTCATGTATACTTGTTAAAAGATTTGCTGTGATGCTCATTTTCTCAGTAAATTCAGATCTCTGTAGATTTTCCTGTATCATAGCTTAAGTGTAAGTGATAACTTGAATGGTCCTTAACGGAAAGCAGTAGGGTGACTGTATAACCTTGATTAAATACTAATCTGTCCAGAAAGTTATTCAGAAACAAGCTTTCTGTCAATAAATTAGTCTGCGTCTGGTTTGTATGAGTTTCCTGAATGACTGGAAATGGATTCTTCAGGTCAATTTACAGATATTTATTATCAGTTTTCACACTACCAGGCATGCTGCAGGAAAAGACATTGGGGAACATCCATGTGCTTTATACAGGTAAGCAGTATTTTCTGTCTCTTGCTGATTATTCCGTTAGGACACAGTGAGCTCCAGAGGGGGAGTAACATTCTTCTCCTCTGCTGATGTCTATGGAGTATGAAAATATATTCTTCCTGCCTGTGGGATTATCTCCCTTTAACAGTGTATGGGATTAGCTTTGCAATTGCTTTAACCGTCCTATTCTTCAGATAACAAATGGTTTTATAACTGAAGTTTCACAGTGTGGTAGCCCACCCTGTGATGTTACAGCGAAGGGCTGGTAAAAAATCGTAACACATTGGGTTGTATCCAAGACACACATGAGGAACAGGACTTCTTCCTCTTCTCTTCCTCTGCACTCTTAAAATCTGCTCCAGAGGGTCCTTTGCCTTCCTGGAGCAGATTTTCAGGGTGTGTGAGAGGGCTGTGGGTGATGAGGGGCGGATTTCAATTGTGGAGTGGTAAAGGTAAAGGGACCCCTGACTGTTAGGTCCAATCGCAGACGACTCTGGGGTTGCGGCGCTCATTTCGCTCTATAGGCTGAGGGAGCTGGCGTTTGTCCGCAGACAGCTTCCGGGTCATGTGGCCAGCATGACTAAGCCGCTTCTGGCGAACCAGAGCAGCGCATGGAAACGCCGTTTACCTTCCCGCCAGAGCGGTACCTATTTATCTACTTGCACTTGACCTGCTTTCAAACTGCTAGGTGGGCAGGAGCAGGAGCCGAACAACGGGAGCTCACCCCGTTGTGGGGATTCGAACCGCCGACCTTCTGATCGGCAAGCCCAAGAGGCTCTGTGGTTTAGACCACAGCTAGTGGACGATGAACCATTTTCTTCTTGTCTTTTGGCACAGCAGCAAGGAAGCGAATGGCTGGTGTCTAACGCGTTGAAGAAGAAGAAATGTACCACTTGCTTTCCATAAGGCAAGGGAAGCAGTGACAAAGCGACCCGTTTGTTGTTATGTACACATACCAGTTTAAAACACAGCGAGGTCTCCCTCACTCCCCTCTGCATTTCAGGTCACACCTTGCTGTATGCATGATGTGCTTCCACACTGGCCACTGTTGGTCCACACCAATGGGTGGACGGGGGTGGGGGGTGGACAAAGGATGCCTTCCCGGTACCACTTGTCTGGTTCGTTTTCTGCTACTGATCTCAACTCGGATTGAAGCCGGTTTAGGGGGGAAGTGCATCAAACCACAGTATTTCACAAGAAACCGCAGGGTAGCTCTGCATCCTGGGTAATGCTGTGTGTATAAGAATTGGGGAAAAACAGCAGTAGGACCGCACTGGAGCCCAGAGTAAATGGTAATGTGTACACAGCCTTAATTTCCGTCCCTAAAGGAGGAGTAGGAAGCTCTGACCCTCTAGATGCTCTTAGGCTCTGTCTCTAGGCATGCAGCTCTACATTATGAAGTTATAGTTTAATTGTAACGATTTCACTGAAAGAATCCTAGGGATGGGGAGTGAAAAAAAAAATTTTTTTAGTCTCCTGGGGAAAAGCAACATGTGTTAAACCCATTTAAGTTTATAGTGTGAATTTGCTCTCCAACTGTGCGATGAATCCAGGTAAAGTCTTATGGGGGTTCTGCAGGCTTCATCATAGCCGAGATTCTTTGCTGAGGTGGAGACAAAACACCAGCCTTGTCAATTTCATTTCGCTTGTCAACCTGCTGCCAAGGTAACCTGGATAATGTCTGGAGAAGCCATTTGTCACTTTCTTTACTTCATAGTGCTGCAAGTGCACATGCACTTCAAAACCAGTAGGTGCTTGTGGCAGTCATGCTGATTGTGCTATGCAAGCGAATAATTGCATTTTCCTTGCAAAAGTATTATTATATTTTGTGCAAGGGAAATGTGGTATCTGTAAAACCTGCACTGCAGCAGTATGAGAACATAGCTAGGTAACTCACAGCAAGAACCAAAGAAGAAGAAGCAGCTATAAATGCATCTACCCTCCAACATTCCTCAGATGAAAACAGGGACATTTCTCAATCTCCCCACCCCCAATTTTTGACACCCCTCACAGAGCATTTCCTATCAGAAGGACAAGTGCCATCACCACTGCGTCAATAGGACAAAGCACACACACCCTCCACCGTCCTGAGAAAGCCCCCTAATCCCAATTTTATCTTATTTTTTTGGTAGATTTACAAAAAGTAAAACACACGCCAATAATTTTTTTTGAGAAAGTAGCAAGATTAGACACAGACGCACAAAGCGTTTAAAAAACAAACAAACAAACAAACAAACAAACAAACAAACAAACAAACAAACAGATAAAACTCCTTACACTCTGCTCCCCCTTTCTTCCTGCCCAGGGCAGCCCTGCCCTCTGCCTGCACCTCAGAGCTCTCTGCATCACCCAGAGCTGGGCCTTGGTAGAGGCAGCCTCTCTCCATCCTTCCCACTCTCCAGCAGTTGCTACGAGTTGCCCAAGGGAGGAGACCACGGAGAGGCAACGGGATGCCCCCTCAGAGTCATCCTTGCTGCCGCCGCCGCCGCCACTCAGGACAAGTGCTGGATTTCATAGTTTCGGGACTTTCCCTGGAAAATAGGGATATTTGGAGGGTATGGAATCAGGGACTGCCTGGAAAAGCCTAGGCTGCTCTTGCTTTATTTTCTGATTCCTGCTTTCCACCCACTGACCCATTTCGGGAAATTGGGAGAAAGGAAGGGTGGGTGAGTACTGATGTACTTTCTGTAATGCAATTGTTTGGTTTGGATTGGATTTTGGATTTGATATCCCGCTTTATCACTACCCTAAGGAGTCTCAAAAGCGGCTCACAATCTCCTTTCCCTTCCTTCCCCACAACAAACACTCTGTGAGGTATGTGAGGCTGATACTTCAAAGAAGAGTGGCAGGGGAAACCCAGCCAGATGGGTGGGGTATAAATAAATTATTATTATTATTATTATTATTATTATTATTAAAGTGTGACTAGCCCAAGGTCACCCAGCAGCTGCATGTGGAGGAGCAGGGAATTGAACCTGGTTCACCAGATTACGAGTCCACCGCTCTTAACCACCACACCACACTGTGTATATTAGCCAATGCAGGCTTTACGATCAAATTATCCTTGGTATTATGTCCAAGGACTGACACGAGTATCGTTGTGTGAAAGCACCCTTAGGGTAGACATGTTCCTGAGTGAAGAGCACGTGTCTTTTACAAAGCGTTTGTACTGTATATATGTGTGTGTGCATGTAGACTGCCTGATATTTGAGAAGCAGGGAAAGGGCTGGCAATGGGGGCAGGAAACTTGGAATGTAATTGCCTCATCCAATCAAATCTGGGTGTGATTCTAAGTAGTAATTTAATCACCACTTGCAACAATTAAGATTGTAGTCCTATACACAATGACCTGGGCAGGCTAGCCTACTAAATAAACATGCATAGCATTGCACTATAACAACTACAAAGTTGGTCAGACTGATTTTAAGCGTCATCCTTCATAACTCTTCCTCTTGTGTTCTAATTTAGGTTATAGAGTACTATCCGTGGATCTCCTTAGAATCAAATGGCTGTTTTTCCCTTTAAGATCAAATGGCACAGAACTGGTTCTTGGATAAATAAGACCATTCCAGTTTCCCCTCTCCTAGCTATGTATTTAAAAGTGTGTGTGTGTGTGTACTCCCTGCCCGCCCCTCCTCCGCCCATCATGCCCCAGAAGAACCGCTGTTTATTGCCACTGAAAACAGTGGTCATTAAACTGACCTACATGTTTTTTGAGACACTTGACTTTTGACATCAGTGGCAAATAGAGGGACAACGTCTCCTCTTTTGTTGATTTACCTACTTATCTCTCTCTGAAAGGGCTCTGGAGCTCTTTTGAGTGTATACATTTCTGTGGGTGGGGTTAGCATTTGGTAACTTGGGTTGCAGTCTTAAAAACAACAAAATGGCCATGAGATAAGGGGTATTTGACTTAATAATTCAAGGTCCAGCCTTAGCTTTAGATAAACAGGCATGCTTGTAGGGCAAGCAAGGATAAAAGAACAATGGTATTTTGCTTTTTGAGGGCCATTGTTTTATTTATTAATTCCTGTTGCTAGTAGGAAGTAAGATTGGCAGAATCGCAGGGGGCTGCCTTGGGCAGTGTGGGAATCTGCTGTACATTATCCAGGACAAAGTTTCAGCCACTGTTCTGGAGTTATAAGATACAGGGATACAATAATAAAGCTACGTCGTTCATAGGCTCCTGCCTATCGGAATGGTGCTATTACTCCATTAGCAAAGGGTATTTTATTTTTCTCTGTGGCCTACTAAAATCAGGATCTGTTGTCCAGATCTTTAATTAGCAGATATTCAAAAGGGGAAAGGGTTTTGTTTCAGTTATTGAGATTTATTATGAACATGTGAGTGGTTAATGAGGTTTTAGAATTGTTTTTAGCAACTGCGGGGCGGGGGGTGGTGGTGCTAGAATACCGTTTTCTGATAAAACATCCTTCAACGTGAAATTTCAGTTCTGCATGTAGGAACTGAATGTAGGTAGGAATGCAAGGAAGATACGTGCTCTATTTTACTTTGGTTTGTACTGTTGTATGTCCATGGAGATTTATACCCTCTGAGCAAAAGCATGTACAGAGTAGCATATGGTCTGAAGAACCACGTAGTGTGTGAGGACATGCAATAGTTTTCATTAGTGGTGTTTGCTTTTTCTGGCATTAAATATATGGGCACATTGCAAAACTTAAACATAAAAAGGTAAAGGTAAAGGGACCCCTGACAGTTAAGTCCAGAAACAGACAACTCTGGGGTTGCGGTGCTCATCTTGCTTTACAGGCCGAGGGAGCTGGCGTTTGTTTTTCTGGGTCATGTGGCCAGCATGACTAAGCCGCTTCTGGCACTACGGAACACCAAAACCAGAGCAGCACATGAAAACGCCGTTTACCTTCCCGCCGGAGCAGTACCTACTTATCTACTTGCACTTTTTGGCGTGCTTTCGAACTGCTAAGTTGGCAGGAGCCAGGACCGAGCAACGGGAGCTCACCCCGTCGCATACCTCTCATTAAAATAAATAGAAACTTACAATCTCAACCATGAGTACTCAGAAGTAAGTCCCACTGAATTAAATGGGGCTTACTCCCAGGTAAACAGGCTTAGTGAGGATTGCAGCCTGATTTTAGGCATTTTGCTCAAAGCTAGTCCCACTATGTTCTATTTGAATTTACTCCAAGTAAATTATGTATGGAATTAAATTACATTACAGTCAAAAGTGCTTTATTAAGAGACCAGGGCCCTGCGGGACTTGACATCTTTCCGCAGGGCCTGCAAGACAGAGCTGTTCCACCAGGCCTTTGGCCAGGGCACAGCCTGACTCCCTCCCTCAGCAATCTTCGCGGAGCTCTGGCCCAATGGTTGCCAGTGGCCTGAATTAATTAATTTTATAATGAATGATTTTAGAGTGTTGTTTATGCTATACTTTTATACTGTTTTATTGTTGTTAGCCGCCCTGAGCCCGGCTTCGGCTGGGGAGGGCGGGATATAAATAAAATTTATTATTATTATTATTATTATTATTATTATCATTGGCTAGATCTTGCCCATACTGAACAAACTCTTTCCATAAAATTAAACGAGGGCTGTGCTCACACTCCCATTTGCTGTGCACTCATTGCATTAACAGCGCGGGTTTAATCCATGTTTACACAAGGTTATCTGAAATGCACATATATCCTGTACTTTGCTATGCAATGCTACTTTTTCAATGCGTTGATTCTCAAACCAGCTTCTGATGGACCACAGTCCTTAAGCTATTCCTAATTTGTCTCTATCCAAAGTGTGGAACACCTTTGCATAAGGTAAAGATGCCCCTGTTTGGTCAACTTGCCCTGGTGTGTACACAAGCAGAAATGAATCTGATACTAATGAAGCAGTGCTGATGTGAACAATTGTGAAATGCACCCTGAAAAAAAACAAAACTGTGCTCTAAAATACCCTAAGATGCCTATGTGTGAATAAAAGGCCTGGACCTTGGTTTCTCATGGCCTTAGACCAGAGACACTTGGTAGATCCCACCCAAATTCAGGACTGAATGCCAAGGGCACGGCATCATCATCGCATCACTTTTCTTACAAGGGAAGCTCAAAGCAATTTACATTTAAACCAGTTAAAAATTACAACTAAATCCTAAAAACGCAGCAATTCAAATGAAAGACTAAAAATGCAGTTAAACAAAAAGGCAAGGTAAGTCCTGCAGCACTGAAAGAGGCCTTCAAATTTAGGACTCATAATTGAAACATTAGTTTTGTAGCGCAAGTTGAGGGAAATCTGGGCTAGTGAAATGCATGATGAATTCATCCTGATTGCTTTAGCCTCTGAATGGAAAGAAATGTTAATGTGCAGATTAGGCTGTTAGATCCTTTTCTGGATCAGCAGTTGACTCAAGGAGGGGAGAGTCTGGGAGAGATGGGAAAAGGCTTGCTTGATTAAAATGCGCATGGGAGGTAAGATGGAGGAAGATCTCAACCTCACCTTAGATGGGTTGGATGATGATTCTGAACAGCCATGGAAAGGCTGTTGAGAAAAATACTTCCATAAAGAACCCAGAGCCTAAGTGTCTGCTGAGCAGGGGTGTTTTTATGCTCATAGACTGACCCTGCAGCTTGTTGCGGAACCCAATTGTTGTAGAATTGCAACACTTTAAGATATTGCACAAGTCATAATTGAGCAGGCACGGAATACTGTGGGAGGGGAAAAGGGATAAGAAGTGCCAACACAACTTGTAATCCTTTCTATCCATGTCAACAAGGCCAGGGCTGAAACTGACAAATAGCTGTAGCCCCATGGAGCATGCCACAAACTTGTTAAACAGACCACGTCCTCAGGCAGGGGCTTGGCTCACTCCACAGTAAGGCACCTTGCCAGGTGACCCGTGACCAATTTCAGGATACTTATTAAAGGGCAGCAAATTGTCAATCTGTACACTAATACCAATTTGAGGCTTCCTGTGCTTATGTAACTAAACCCACAGCAGCAATGCACGAGAGACTAGTGGCAGAACTTGGGGGTAAGTAACCCCAAGTATGCACAAGTTAAGGAAAAAAAGTCTGGGGGGGGGGGACCCCAGTAAACAGCCTGACAGTAACTCTGTGGCACAAAAGACAGAGAGAAGGGCATGGGGAGTGAGAACCTGATAATTGAGTGGGAAGGGAGAGTAGAATGGAGTGGCCAGAACAAAGTAAGAGTTATGTCTCTGTCCTTAAAAAAGGGGGAAAGAGCTATTTCATTGTATGTACCCAGGGACAGAAGACAGCTTATCATCAGTGGAGAAATCCATGTTAATGTAACTGGGAATGATCACAGCTGTCCACCCCACCTCCCAAAACTGAAAAGGGAGAAACCTCCAAATGGTGTCATGAGGACAACATGCTCTGTAGGTACAGAAAGCTGAGTGTTGGGCGGGGAGGAAGGGACCAGGCAGAGCAGGCTTGGGGTGGAATGGAGTGGTTAGAATCCTTAATAGAAGCATCCCACACTGGAACATTTCGATGCAAGGTCATACTTGTTTTGTCTGTTGCTTTTCCTAGCATGGTGGGCATTGCTTAAATTTTCTGCTTCAGATGCTGATATATCTTGGGCCATCTCTGCTTAATTAGTTGTGCTTGCCGCATCAGATGTTCTATCCTTCAATACATACATAGAGATACAGTACAGTGGTACCTCTGATTGCGAACGGGATCCATTCCGGAGGCCTGTTTGCAACATGAAAAGAACACAACCTGCGTCTGCACACACATGGGTCATGATTCGCCGCTTCTGCGCATGCGTGTGACGTCATTTTGCGCGTCTGCGCATGCATGAGCGGCGAAACCTGGAAGTAAACCTTTCCGGTACTTTCGGGTCGCCGCGGGACGCAACCTGAAAAATGTATCATGAAGCAAACGTAACATGTTATCTGGTTCCTGTATGTGCTTACTTGGGAGCAAGGCTCACTGAACTCAGTGAGACCTTCATTGGGCGTAAACATGCCCAAGATGGAGTATTTTGCTAAAATTTCAGCACTGGTGTGTGTGGTGTGTCCTTTGTTCTCCTCCATGGTGTATGGTCATTTGGGGGAGTTTCGGCTTTCCTGATTCATTTACAGGTACTTTTATAGTCCATAAAATACATTTTTTTTGAGGATGGAAATTAATCCTTGGGTTGAGGAGTGAAATAGCCTTCAGGAATCACAACTGTTTCTGCTGCATTCTTTAGCTGGTCTTTTAAAGTGAGAGTTTGAGGAGACAATATATAAATAAAAGACACTGCAAGCCTATCCACGTCTACTTGGAAGTACATCCAATGGAGCTTACTCCCAGGAAAGTGGTTATAGGATCGCAGCCTGAAACACTTAAAGATTAACTGTTTACAGTGAGTTGGCAACAGAAAGCTTACAGACAGTATCTCTGTTTACAGCTCTCTCACTTGCTTATAAATACAGTGATACCTCAGGTTACATACGCTTCAGGTTACATAAGCTTCTGGATACAGACTCTGCTAACACAGAAATAGCACCTCGGGTTAAGAACTTTGCTTCAGGATGATAACAGAAATCGTGCTCCGGCAGCGCGGCGGCAGCAGGAGGCCCCGTTAGTTAAAGTGGTGCTTCAGGTTAAGAACAGTTTCAGATTAAGAACAGACCTCCGGAACGAATTAAGTACTTAACCCGAGGTACCACTGTACATAAAGTCTGCCAACTGAGAACCCTTCATACATCTGATGAAGATTCTATCCCATGAAGGCTTCTGCACAATGACAGTGCAATCTCCACAGGTTTACTCAGAAGCCAATCTCCCAGTTTTCAGTGGGCTTACTCTCAGATCAGCATGCATAGGATTGCAGCCTCAAACTTGTGAAGGTTTTGTTGGCTACCAGTCAAGACGCCTCTACACTTGTGAGTCGGAGAGAGCTGTTGTAAGGTTGCCCTGCTTGCAGGTTTCCCAAAGGGCATCCTCTGACTGGCTGCTGTGGGACTAAAACAGATAGGCCTTTGGGCTGCTCCTCTTAATGTGACCCAAGAGAGACACAAACACACTCTCTTCTCTGTGGTCATTTCACCAAGTTGAAGCCGACTTTGAAACTTGCTGCCTGCTGTCTTTTTGCTGAAGGGTTTCGAAATACAAAACTATTGACCGGTTTGCTGTTCGAGAGGGGTGAAGCTCGCGTGTGTGTGCGCGCGCATACACACAAACCACACACCCAGGCGCGCGCTCTCTCTCTCTCCTTTCCCTGAAGTGACTTTCAAGCTCATCCACATACCACGTAGGCTGGTGGGAAGCAGGGTGGAGGGGAGACGGAAAAGCCAGTCGGAAGAAGCGAAGGAGGTGGGTTCGTGCAACGTTTCGGACTCTCCAAGTGGTGGAGAGGAGAGCCGGGGGAAGCAGGCCAAAAGAGGCGGCGGCGGCGGCGGCGGCAGGCAGAAGCAGCCTGAGAATTTCCTGTGAGGGGAATCACAGGCCTCAGTCGGGGCAGGCGAGGAGGAGGAGGAGCAGCAGGGCATGGAGCGCCCTTTGCTTTGGCGACCTCCGCCGAGGGCTGCGTGCGCCCCCGAGCTCGGCGCGCCGCGGCGCTTCCTTTCCTCGCGTTTCTCCTGCCGCGCAATTGCGCTCGCGGCGCACTAAAGGCGAGGGACCTTCCTCTCTCTTCCTCTTCCCCCGGTCCTAGCCCAGCCCTCTCCTCCTTCCCGCTGTGGCGGCTAGTCTCGGCTGGCCCTGCCCACGTTTCTCTCTCTGTCTCTCTCTCTCTCCCCGCTCCCTCCCACCCGTGGTCATGTGTTGCCTTTTTTTGTTGTTTGCAGTGGAAACAATTTGGCGTTCTTCGGCTCGCTCTGACCCAAACCGCTACTCCAACCGGGAGTAGTGTAGACAGGCGGGCAGACAGAAAGGCAGGCAGGGAGGGGGGAGAGGTAGGTCGGGGTGGGTGGGTAGGTAGGTAGGAGGGCGAAGCGAAGAGGGGGGGAATTGCAGCAGGGTCCCATGCTCCCCCCTCCCCACGGCTCCTGGCTCCCCTTCTCTCTCTCTCTCCCCCACTCGCTCCCTTCGGCCACATTGTTGGCTCCAGGCTGGGGGAGGAAGCGATGCCTCGTTCAGTCGGATGAAAAGTTTGCATAATGACCATGGAAAAGGCAGCAGTAAAAATCTAGAGCTCTTCCAAGCCCCAGGTAAGTTTGGGGATTTATCTATATTTTTTATTATTTTATAAAAAGAATATCTGTGCGTGCTTGCTGCTGCTGCTGCTGCTTGTTTTTTGTGTCTTGCTCTGTGTGTGGATTTTTGTTTTTTTAAAATTCATGGTTCCCTTGTTGGGAAGATTGCGTAAGATTCTCTGCAATGAAATCGGCAAGAAGAAGAAGCCGGAGTGGGTTGGGGGGGGGGAGAGAAGGGAGAGACACGCACGCATGATAAGGTGGGTCAGCCCTACAAGAAGGCAGCCACTTAGTTCGGGATGTCTGAAAAAGCAACGTGCTGGTCGTCTTAATTTCGACTCCCCCTCCACCCCGAAACTCCCGTGTGTGTTGGGCGAAGGAAAGCAGGAAGCGGATCGAGCTGAGAGTTGCAGCCACGAATATGTAATGTTGCTGCTGGAGCTGCCTGATTTCCGAAGACTGTTGGCGAATAGAGTTGGCATTGTATGGAAAGTTAGGAAGGGAGGGGGGAAATTGTGCCCAGTCGAGGAATGCTCCAACCTTTAAAAGCATTTGTGTGCTATTTTTGCCCATTGGCTTGAGAGTGGTTTATCCCTCTGTAGTGCATTTATTACCAAACTGTTTTTTAAGGCGGGGGTGGGGAGTGCTGTTCTTTATTTATCTTGTTTTAAAATCCTCTCGTTATTCTCCAGTGGAGGAAGCCAGTCTTCGTATTTTTCTTTTAATCTTTCATATATATATATATTTTAAAAAGTCCATTTAGTTCCTGAAGTTAGTTCGTAAGTTTGTTTTGAGGAATTTTTTTTTGCATTTATTATGGTGTTATGGGGGGCAGTGCAAGGTTTATGACATCTGAACAGCATTGAAGGTATGTTTGCTGCAAATGGCACTTTATAGGAGCAGTTTTGCAGTCTCCTAGCAACGCCATTGATTGATTCGAATCCCGGCCAATCCGCGAGCTCCTTCTCCCCTTCAAATGTTTTTGACAAGTACAGTAGGGAGTGTAGCAAAGTGCAGCGAGAAAAACTGTCCCTGGCTGGTTGTCCTTTTAGTCCCTTCAAAATGACGCCCCCGTTGTATGTTTTTAAAAGATACACATCTGTTTGAGCCTGGCCTGTAATGTATATACCAGTCCCGAGAAGCATTAATAGTGATCTGGCTTGATTCCCGCACTCCCCGCTTCTTGTCTGATTCTGCCATGTCAGTTTTACAACCGAGAATGCGAGAGATATTGTGCCTTTCTTCTACAACAATGAAGTTTGCTTTTAGACTTGCCCCTAAGCACTGCAGCTGTGGACGTATCTGATGGAGCTACTTAACTGGCAGCAGATTAAAAAATGTTTGCTTAACTGCAGCACCTCCTCTGATTCGTGTGAAGTATGAAGTGCAGGAGAGAAGAGGCTGAGAGCTGGAGTCTGACGCTGGAAAGATTGGCTGGGGTTGGGAAACATCTTTTTTTTAATGTGTTTCTGAGTCCCCCTCCACACACACTTAAATCCAAGGCTAGGATTTCTGCCCTCTAACGTAACTTAGAGGCTACGTGATTGTCTGTCCTCGCACGGTACTGGGAACTTTTCCATGTCCTCCGTATGGAATTGTGACGCGAGGCTCCTGGATTTCAAGGTGAAGGGGAAAAAGAAGTAGTTTTGAATCCCTCCTGGAAATGGTTGTCCTCCTTTATATTAAAAACAAAACCCTGCACGTCCTTTGCAGCGTTTGCAAAACGGCGACATGTTTCGAATGTTTACAGTGGAGTTAAAACATGTAGAACCAGCTGACTAAAGCAAGGTTGTTGCTGTTGAAATGTGTATGGCCTACTGCAGCTTCAGGTTTGTTTTGTTCAAATGTGACGTTTCCCAGTAGCATATTCATTGTTTTAACAAACTATTATTAGTGGAACCTCCAAGGCGTTTACAATGTGATCCTAAATTGAGTTCAGTTGCATTCACTCCTAGTAATGTATTGGTTTGGGTTGCTGCCCCAATATCACATGCTTTAAAGTGGCAGATACAGTGAAGTTTCCTCCGCTGTGTCTGCTATACTAAAGATAAGTGATTTGAGGACTGCAGCTTTAACTAACTTTGGTCAGTCTTGCACGCCACTGTGCAATTAAGCTTGATGCTTGAGAGCTGCAGGATTTGGAGCCCCTGTACCCGTCTCTTAAATATATGTCACTAGTTTTTGTGTGAAAATTGGTGGTATGATATGGCCCTTTGGGAGAACGCAGGCAAGTAAGCAAATTAAACTGAAAGAGAGCAGCATGTCGTCATAGCAACAGTGCAATTAAATTATGTTGTCAGCCATGATATAATTTTCCTATTTAAAAGCTTGCTCATGGGACATGCGTTCTGTTTGTACTGAACTCATTTGGCTACACTACTCCCAACTGGAAGTGGTGAATGGGGAGGAGGGTATAAATGATGTTTTAGGGACCCACACAAAGTGTGGTATCATTTAGGGCTTATTTTTCTATGCATCCCTCTCCCACTCCCTTGATACTTGAGTGCTTCGATTCATTTAAAGGGAAACATTTTCTGAAATAACTTCCCATTAAATGGTAAGTACAAATGAAAAGTTTAAATATTACTAGAGCAACAGGAATATGGTAGTGATTTCCGGGGCATAAAAATTTTTCCCACCACATTGGGAGGGGAACTGGGGTATGTAATTTCCAACTTTTTGCATTTTTAAACTACTTTTAAAAAACCTAATAAGTTACATTTTTGTTTTCATTTGCTGAGCTTGGCTTTACAGGGTTTGATATTAAATAACTT